AGCTACCATCAGGGTGGGGGATCCCTATATAACGCGCACCATCTGCGCAGTCCACATTCAATTCGAGTCACAGTTCTGACAGTTAAACCTCACAACGTACACGTGGACGTAGTGGTAATGTGTTATCATAATCATTTTAATAAGAATGGTGGTGGAGCATGCAGTACAGATGAACTGATCATCCGTGAAAATTTCGATGAAAGTTTGCATAAATTTGCAAGACACCTCGTGACTGACTTGCAGTGTTTGTGGAATAATTATGAAGTCCTTGAAGCTCAGCGAGATGCTGGTAGGAGAATCAATTGTTCTCAATGTTCTACTCGAGGTGAGGACTTATCAAACATAATCGAGAGTATCAATAATTTGGGGAAACTGAAGAAATTCTGCGAGGAGCTGAGAGACAAGATCACCAACACAGAGGATGAATCAGAGGTAGCGAGTATCGATGAAATTCAATGGTTGAATTCAGTTCCACCATACTGCCTCAGTGACAATGAGGTTGTCGAGCAAGTACTGATTCATGCTCCAGCTGAACCAATTCCACCATTGACAGGATTCATCTCTAGAATTCGTAAAAACTTCACAGCGCTGTGCTCCAAGTTCAAACGTGGAGAGGCATCAAAGTGTTATCCTTGTGAGAAGTTATCTCAATCTCTGCAGACCATCAAAGCAAATTTTGAACATTTGCGATCCGCCATTGAACTCCTGGGTTTGGAGTACGATATATTCTTCGTTTCTCATGGCCACCAACCTGCTGATTTAATCTGAACGATGGAACCTGTGAAGGATAGCTCCGCAGATCAGCAAGAAAAGAAAACTAAGAGAATTAGTTTTCAATTACAACCACGAGTTCATTTGATGTTGCATTGGGAGTATGCATATCGTTCTGCTCGTCGAGGCCCATGGGAAGAGTTCGCTCGTGATCATGAGCGTTTCAAACGTCAAATAAATTCTTATGAAAAAATACTGAACCCTGTATTATCAAAACAACATAGACTAAATATTTTTGAAACTCGTTTTACATAGTTCTAAGTCATTTTCAATATTATTATTACTCTTATTATTATGATGTTGATGGGGAGAAGGTGTGTGTATAGAATAATGAGACCATGGATTTTTTTAATAAAAAAAAAATATATATATATATTTATCTTTTAATATACATGATTATCTTGATTTATTTATTTTTATATCCTCCATCGCCTACGGCTTCATAACCTCCTATATTTACATTAGTTTCTTAACTCCTCCACTGATAGGATTGTATTCAACAATTCGATCATGGAGGATGAGACTGTATGCTGATGTGTTGGGTGCAAAAGGAAATGATGATTCAAATTCCAGACGAATATCAACTGGTCCGGTTTTCAAATACTCATTCTGCTTGGAACAATCGATTACAATTAATGGTGCCTCTGTTAGAAATTTCTCTCTATTCAATAACGACTCAGCTTCCTTTCCGTAGTAAGACTCCTGAAAGTTCACGTACATGTTGTATAGTGTTGAATACTGATTGAGGGCAATATCCAAATTCAAATTGCCATATGGATAGCTCTCTGAGTGGAGGAAAAGCTTCACATCTCTGATACTGCAATGATCGAAGTGGCTCGCATTGGCTGTCTGAATAATTTTACGACTCGTTTGGAATCCAAGAATAACGTATCTTGGTTTCTCCAATTGAGATGATGTCTTCACAACCCAAACATACTTCGAGGTTGCTAGGAGAAGAGGATACTCATACAATTCCCATGAACGAAAGCCCATTGTATTGGGTGTGTCTTTTGCGATGAAATTGAGCAGCTTCACCTTGCGCTCGTCCGACACTTTAACATAGGGGATCAACCACTCAATCTTTTGAAGGTTGATCTTCCATTTCTCCTCTGGGTTTTGTTGATTGACAGCTCTCTGAAGTACTGCACTGATGTCTGTTTTCGATCTCGTAATAATGAGTTCATGTTTTGCATTCACAACAATCTTCTGATAATCTTCAGCGAAGCCAAGTAGAAGACTTAATGGTATAGAGATGTCGAAATATCCTGCATTATCAGTGATTTTCTCATTACTATCCATACTATCATTCTTGAGCCAACCTGCATNCCTCATTACTAGCCATACTATCATTCTTGAGCCAACCTGCATTCTCCATCAAAAACCACTGGTTAGGACTCTGAGAAACATAATTTTTCATGAGACTCGTTAAACCCACATTTTTCGCTCGATCAATCTCTACACCATTGAGCTCATATCGCACTTCCTCAAACAGATGACAGATAGCGTTACTCACGAGTTTTGTTCTCTCGGCTGGTGTTGTTCCATTATCTTTGGTTAATCGACCATTAATATGCAGATGACTCTTACTGAGCAATAAACATAAATCTTGATGTTGCACAGTAATTGAAATTACATCATTATTACCGTAGCTTGATGAAGCAAAGGGTTGATGGGTATGCATCTCATAGTGAGAAACTGACTCATCGAAGATGATAGATTTTTGAATCTTCAAGATGTCCTCCATAATATATTATTTTTTCCTTATCTATGATTGGATTTACACTCGAGGTCTCAAGTTTAAGCTCTTGAGGAATTGAATACTCTCACGTGTTAACGGTTTGATGGGTCTTTGACGACTGTTAGTCCTCTGGGGGGATGACTCCCTTTTAGAACTCTTCCCGATCTTCGTTTGGAAAACAATACCCATTAGGTACGTATGATGTGAAGTCTTATTGTAATTAATTCTCCTTGGAAGTTCAACAATTCACCATCCTGATCCACCAATCTCAGCTGGAGATGATCTATTGCTTGGACCACGATCGGAAGGTAAGTAAGATTCTTCGGCACCTCAATGACCTTATATCCTGGAGGCACAGTGGGAAAAAATTCATGAATGATGGGAGCTTTCTTCCCATTAATATACGCACCTCCAGTGATATTACACTCCACACACATAGAATTCACCTTAAGAATCCTAACTGGCAAATCAGATACGTGTGATTTATTAGGTGATAAAATTCTGTTATCAAATCCTAATAATCTACCAATCGAATCGGAAGGTTCAAAATTAATTGTATGATCACTTTTGATTTCACTGCACAAAGTATTATTATTGGCTTTTATGTTGATTGAAACACCTCTCTTTTGCAGAACCTTCTGCAAATAATTTTGAATATCTTCAATCTCATAACTACCTTGAGGAACGCTGATTGTATACTTCTTATTCTCATTATCAGAGTAGTAGAATTTATTATTCTTTTCTGTAATATTTGGAATTGAATTGAATGTCAATAATTCAACAAGAGCCAAGCTGTAGTGATGATTGTGAGATAATTCAACGGGAGGAAAATAATTCGCTTCTAGAACAGAAGAGGTCCCCGACAGTGTTAATGTGAAAGATGCTCCCATGGTTGTCAGCAATAAACTAACTCAATGAATGAATGTGAACGATATTTATATCTGTCCTTGGAGAAATTTCAGACATAGATGACCACATATGATTGTGTCATACTCTTGATGCTTCTGATGATTATATTTGACAAGGCTACCAACACCGAAATAATCCATCAATTCTTTTGGTGGTTGTAAATTTCCAAAACTATCAAAATAAATGATTTCATTTTTCTGTTTCTTATATGCCACCCAGTGAGTGCCAGGACCATCCCTATCATCCAAATTCACTATAGCTGATTCATTTACCCGAGGTNTTATAGCTGATTCATTTACCCGAGGTCCATTTCTCAATCGATTTCTCATGTAAACTACTCGGAAATATGGAATTTTCATGAGTTTGGAGTATTTTATGATATCAACATCACTGAGGGCTCGGTGTGGTAGCTTTATGAGTTTTTTGGTTGCAAATGGAGTCCCAATCCTGTTTTATAGGGCTTCAGATACAATCCTTTATCCATTGAAATTGCTTCCATTGCTTGATTATGACGTTTACTCTCATCAAGGTACTGCCTAGCTGCTTTCGCGTCGTTCACAGCTTTTGCGATACCAGCGGCGCCTCCAGCTAAAGCTCCCGTGGCACTTAACCCAGCAAATAAGGGAATCAAGAATGGTAGTACTCCACCAATTTTTCCGGGTACTGGTAATACTCTTGGCGATTTTACGGAGCGCTTTCCTCCAGCGTTTCGGACAGCATCTCGTGCAGCTTGAAGAGCTGATTTGATCGCATCTCCCGGGCGCATCGATCGTTTCGCCGCTCTGATGATGGTTTTGAGAGCAACATGCTTTTTTGCAGCAGCACCACGTCCACATGATTTCTTCTTTTTTACAAGATTTTTCCTACGTTTACTAGTTTTTCCCCCCACTCTTTTTTTCAATCCAAATCCAAAGCTGGTCTTGGCTTTCATAGCATTAGCTACAGCCCAAGCTGCAGCTTTTTCGCTCAAACCCGCGTCTTTTGACAATACACGTGTCCACGCTCTGTTTTCTAATACTTTATCAGCGTTATGTCTTGCGGAGAGATTCTCTCGATTCTTTGAATATGCGATATCGTGTTCCTTACACGCTCTATCGAGAAGATTGATCCCAGGATCACCGCGAGCTAACCTCTCTGACAGCTTCGTTCCTGGTCCACAATATTGATATCCGGGGATATGTAGTTCGATTGGTAATTTGTTGATTATCTTATTTAAAATTCCTTTTCCACTCCTCTTACATTCTCTCACTATCATAGCTCATGCTCAACTGAGCGTGAGTGGTATATAAACCCACTATTTATATGTTTTCATCTCAGTTGAACATGAGAAGTCATGAGCAATACTCATCAAAAAATAAAGTTTGCGGAACAGGAAGTGAGATTACCCATTTTGAATTTCGATCAAGTAGTACAGAATGTAGATGATAAAATGAGAGAGAGACGTCATGGTGAATTACTACCGAATACAGTTCGAGCAATTTTTTGTGGACCTTCCAACTGTGGTAAAACAAATGCATTATTGGCGTTGATCACACATCCGAATGGTCTTAGATTCGAAACCGTGTATGGGTATTCAAAGTCTTTGAATCAACCGAAATATGAGTTTCTAAGAAATGTTTTAGAAGCAACGAATACAATTGGATATTTTCCATTCAACGAACATGAAGAAGTCACAAAACCTGAAGATGCCAACCCCAATTCCATCTTCATTTTTGATGATGTTGCGTGTGAAAAGCAAGATAAAATGCGTGCTTTCTTTTGTATGGGGCGTCACCGAAATGTTGATTGCTTTTACCTTTGTCAAACATATACGCGTATTCCAAAACATCTCGTACGTGACAATGCAAATTTATTGATCTTATTCAAGCAGGATGATAAGAATTTGCGACATATTTATGAAGATCATGTCAACACGGATGTGACTTACAATCAGTTCAAAGAGATATGTTCCTCATGTTGGAATATCGATGAATATAGCTTTTTAGTGATTGATAAAGATAGAGATCTGAATGATGGTCGCTATAGACGAGGATTCGATTGTTTTATAAATATATAATGCACATGATTTTTTCAAGCAGTCGCATCCAGAGCTTCATCATGACAAGTTCTATTTTGAATAAAGAGAAGCATGTGTTACAACAAATCGCAGACGCAAGTGAAGCAATTCGTGAAAAGCATAAACTAATGAAATTGGGGAGAGAAGATACAGAAAAAACTCTGAATGAAGTTTTCAAACCAGTGGTTACACCATTACAAAAACTAGTGGATGAAGCCTCTCATGATGGAATTCCTAGGAGAGCGAAGAGATATAAGAAGCGCAAAGTTCCCGATTCATCTGCTTCAAGGAAACGAGTGGTGGAAACAGATGATTCTAATATTCCAATAAAGATTCAACGAATGAAGGAAATGTATGATTCAAATATTCCTAGAAGACCACCATCAGAATCAGAGTTGAATAGAAATGTTCACACACCATCATCCTCCACCATGGAAACGGAAAATATTGATGATCAAGATGATTCTGATTCTGTGGAGGATGAAGATATGCATAATTCATCACAAGAATATATGCAATTATTCGACACTCCTGATGGGGATAAAAAATTGGGCTTGAGAACAGGAGTCCGCAAGTATAAAGGTAATTGGGTAATCAGGATAACCCCAATTAAATTTGAAAGGGGTACAATCGTGGTTGGTCATGAAAAATTTAATCAAACTCCAGGACTTCTCGAAATATTATTCAAAAAAGAACCCAATGTGGAGAAAATTACAGATGATGATAAGAGAGCATTCACGAAAATTGTGAAGATGACACATCTTGATAGGCAATATTTTAACCCAAAGAAAAGTTTGATGCGGCACAATACAGAAAAGTTTGTGAATTTCATGACTCAATCTCCTCAAGGGACAGGATCAAATCAAATGATTGCAAAGAGGAAACGTAATATCGATTATGTATACTGGGATGATTTAAATGAGCTGCTGGATCGACTCCGATTGTTGTATGCATCTCAAGCAGCTGGCAATAATAATCATAATAATGAAATAATTTCAATTATCGAGGAGCTGCGGGAGGCTGGATTGATATATTAGAAGTGAACACATCTTGGAGATATCAGTTACAAAATGAGCGTTGATGTGTTTGGACGACAGTTGAATGCTGCTGGAGCTGCACCCCGGAATATTCAAGGACCCCCAGGTCGGGGCTTCAAGCTCACAGCAGATGGACAATTTGATATGAAGAACAAGCGATTATGTAACGTTGCTGAAGCAGTAGAAGATAATGATGTAGTTTCCATGAAGGTTGTCAAGCGGCTGATTGAAGATTTGCGGATTAATTTACTACAAAAACACATGACACAGAACCTTGAAGCCATTCGAACACTAGATGAGAGAGTGAAAACATTGGAGAGTTCAGGTAAAAATTCTCCAATCGAATCGAATGAAGATAATAGTATAGCAGCTGCACCAGAGTTTTCAGATAGTGGAAAAGAAGTGAAACGTGTTAAGAGAAGTTCTAAAACGTTAACTGAGAATGAAGGTGAAAAAACAAGGAAAAACAGAAAAGTTTAAGGCGGAAAAAGAAGCTCTAGTTGAGGAACTCCACAGACCTGCGCGTAGGAATTATCCCAGACGCAGAGTAGATATACGAGGTCTCAATGAAACTTGGCAAGCTGATCTTGTG